TGCTTGCTTCCAATTTTTGATGCGTTCTCAAAGTCGAGTAATGGATCGAAATAATAGAGCCTAAAAGGGGAGTTGTTTTGATCAGTGAAGTTGGTTATAAAAAGAAGGTGTCCATTAAACAGAAGTGTTTGTGAAACATGGTCGATTGAGAAAAAGATGTGTGCGATTGGGTATGAGAACTGTTCGCTGTATTTTATAACCCTGATGCCGTTGTCAGAACTCATAGCCACAAGTTGCCCAAGTATTTGTACTGATGTAATGCTCATTTAATTTTTTCTAGTTCTTAATGATTTTAACTAACTATCTAATCAATTACTTGATATTATAAACAATACTTTATTTTATTAAATGTATTAAATATTTAATTAATTTATATAAAAATTTATTAACCATTTTAAAAATTTTTTAAAAAAAATCTTTTTTTTAATTATAATCACGAAGTTTTTTAATTCACAAAACAAATTTTTTCTGAATAAAAATGCGTATTAAAATATTCTAAAATCTTGGGAGAAAATATAACTAATATTATCTTTTCAAATTGATAAGTTTGTTATTAAAATAATATATTAAAATTTATAAATATATTTGTTTCAAAAAAGTTTTAAGTTATATTTATATTACATATCAATTAATCAAATATTAATTAAAAAAATATATATTGAAAATAAATATAAAATATTATATATTCATTTTATTAAGTTAAAGGTGACCTTGAAGATTCATCAAAATGCTTGGGCTGATAATATTTATTTGAAGTCAAAAACATACGTAAAATAATTAAGAAATAACAACAAAAAATTTGAAATGCCTGTCAGATAATTATAAAAATAAAAAAAATAATTAATTAATAATTTTTTAAGTTAAAAAAGTGATTACAAAAAAATTATTTGGTAAACAAAAAACTAATTGGACTTCTTTATAATTATTCATATTCAAACATTTGTATTTCATATTAAAAATGTAGTTTTTGATATTTACACACTTGGTTGACAATATGACAAAACATGGAATGATAAATAAAAAATTAATAATCATGTTTAAATTTAATTTTTGATAAAAACATAAACCAAAGATAATAATTGTTTTCGACATATTTTTGAAAATGAATATTATCTTAATATTTGAAAAGTGTGTGTGACCATTTTTATTGTGTAACTACATTTAAACGATTTTCTTCCAACAACTCACTGTCGATAATAACATGTAAATAATGTTATCATTTTAATTAATAATGTCTGATTACACACATAAATAATACCAATTATAAAAATGACACTACAACTGTTATTGAACAGTGAAATAATTACATGATTATTCAGTTACTTATTAATGATTTTATTATGATAATTAATATAAAATGATTCTCTTTTATACTTTACGTATTCATTGTAAAATGAATTAATTTATTAAACATGTAAACTTTTTGAGTGTGTAAACAGATAATTTTAAACTAACAATAACAAAATTATTATAATATATAAAGAATGTGAATGGTTATTTTAACGGCTTGTGGTTCTTACCCTTGTGTTTATGTTATAAAAAAATATTTATTTACTGGTTAAAGTTACTAACAACTAAATGAAAATTGTTTATGATAAATAATAATATATACATGTGAACAGATTAAAAATGTTGATAATAAACACATTTGTGTTTTTGATTACATTGGTGTTGTCACTTAGATTAAATATATTTTATAAATTTAACAATAGCAATAATAAACATTTTCCAGTTATTTTTATTTAACTTGAAAGCAATTGAATTGTTATTAAATGTTTGTGTATTACTTAGATAACATAAGAATCGTTATTTATATCCAAAAAGACAAACAGTTTTGTTTTAATGCACTTTTCTCGCCACTCTTGATTGATATTCTTATATCAAACGGGTGTTTGATATACAATTCGATCATTTTATAAGCCATAAAAACAACAATCCATCTGTTTGTAACCAGTCGCTCAGGAATGAGGTTTATTTGGATCGAGTTCATATGAGTCAAGATCAAATGAATCGGTTTAATTGGATCAAGAATTTAATAGATTATTATATTCATTCTATTATATTTGTTTTTTATTATTAAAACAAAAAATAAAACAAACAAAAAACAATTAATTTTACCAAATATTATATTACTTGATTTTTTTTTAGCCTTTTTCTTTGTTATTCTTTCTATTGGGTTGATATATTTTTTCTTGGTTAACAGACAAGTGGATTTTCTTTTCTATGTTTTTGTAATTGATGTTTTATCTTGTTGTAATATACTCGCACATGTCAATGAACCATTTAATTGTTCTTTGTGGATAGATTCTTCTTCTTTTTCTGTGACAAGAGTTGTATACTCAATTTGTTCAACTTGTCTTCAAAAATACAAGTATTAATCAATTGGACTTCTTCTTGTGTTTCATTTGGATTTTGACATATTTTAAATGTATTGAAATGGTTCTTAACAAGCTGCTTTTCATTTTCCATTGGTAACTTATCGTGCTTTTAGTCAGACAATCAAGATACTCAAAAACTCTCACAAATTTTTCCTTCTTTATATTCAAGTACAATTCTTTTTATGTTTTCGTTGTATTTTTGTGTACTTTGATTAACTCGTTGTTGTTTTGGTTTTGCTATATGTTCAATGTATCGTTCCACTGTTAAATTTTCGACCATTCTTAATTGAGCAACCATTTTCCAGATGTTTGGATGTGCACAATTAAATTTTTGAGAAAATCCACTATGAAATGATTTACTGACGTTATTAGTTCTATTTTCAAACAACTCAAATTGGTTCCAAAGTTCAACTTGGTGCATCAAAGTGCTTTCAAAGTAATTTAGAAACAGTTCAAACGGTTTTCGATAGTCAGTTTCAATGCCAAATCTTTGATCTTTATACTTTTCAACAATTAAATCAAAAGTTGATTTAATTTCTTGATTTGGCAAAAACATAAACCAAAAATTCTTCTTACCCACTTTCTGACATTCAAACTTGCATAAAAATATGCTATTAGCCCCTTTTGTCCCACATTTTTCCACAATGCTTGATAAAAGTGAAAAAAAAACAACCATGTACTTTAAAACCATGAAAATTAAATTCATTAATAGTTGCTTTCTCAAAATCAGTAACAACTGTTATACCAACTGGTATAAACTCAGAAACAATATCTAATAATGTTTTATAAGTTGTGGATTTTTGATTTGGCATTAAAGTAAAAATACAAGGAAACGCTTTACCATTAACCATGGTGTGAATCGTTTATAGATTGTGAAATATTTCAGGCACAATATATAAGTTCCATCCGCAAATATAGTTGTTGCTTGTGCAAGTATTTCTTTTTGTTTTAATGACATATAAATATACATATCATCCCCTTCAACTTTTTAATGATTAAATAGAAATGTTCCAAATTCATCAAACTTGGTCTTTCCCCTTAATGTCGTTGTTAGTTCTATCGGAAATTGTATATGAATTGAAATTTGTGGATTTTTTTTTACCAAATTGTTGTGAATCACAATGTTTGACAAATGATTTGAATGCACTTTCACTATAAAATACACACAGTCAATACAGAGATACCTTTCCCACCATTATCCGCTTAAAAGTTTCAAACAACTAATAGCACAGACCTCATTCTATTAATTTGTGTTTCGGTCAGAGAAGTGGCTTTTGACACAATAGCAAACAAAATAGTTATATATTCATTTATCGAATTTAATTTGTGATCCGAAAAATTTCCTTTGGCAATTTTCCGTGTTTCAAAAGCTTTTAGTAATGATTTCTCCAATATTTTTGCAGTTGCAGTTGCAGTTTCAACATCAAAATTTCGATTTTTATATTTTATACAATTTCGAATAATTTTAATCTTTTTGATTGAAGATATTGTTTTGGAGTTAACTTATTCACAGTGTTTAATGGTACTGTGTTATTGTTCAATATGGGTGGCATTTCTGGTATTTAAATTGGTGTTGGATTCAATGTTTTTATGTATTATTTCTTTCTGTTTCAACGTCGTTACAATCAATTGTGTAAATTTCTGATTGTATTTCATTTCTTAACAAAAAATTAACAACGTTGTCATTACATTCGAACGTGTTTTCTGTTAACACTTCGTTTGAATTGGGAAAATATGCATAATTAAATAAATGTTGAACACCATCGTTTATTTTATGAACATATTTCAATACATTTTGGATCCATTAGAGTTAAGGATAAAATCTCTTATATCGGAAAGGCAACACCAATTGATTTTTAGTTTATCGACATTTATTATATTAATTTATGTATTACTGAATTAAAATTGTATATATCATTTTACTTTATATACACACAAATTTTAATAAATTGATATCATTTTATCTAACATTTTTTTAAATGAATCTAATTTTGGATTACAAACAAAGAATTGTTATATTGTATTATATCGTTTTATTGATTTTATTTTAATGCCTGTTAATAAAAATAAAATTATGTTAAAATGGAGTGAAAATATAACAACAGAATATTTTGAAACAATAAATAATTCAGATTCAAAATTGGGGAATATTTTATTGAAAGAATCAATAAACATATGCTTAAAGTTCCTACAATAACACATAAAAACGTCTTGATATTAATGTAGCTGTTCAAATTTTTTTAATAACAATTTTTTTTCACAAAAATTAAATTTATTCCTATTTTTATGTGGCCTTGGTTTAAATTAATTTCTTTTGTTAAACAATATTGTTTTATAAACAAACAATTTAATTGTTTGAATTATTCTTCTTGTATTGATTATATTTTTATATATATAACAGTTTTAAAACTGTCAGTAATTATAACACACTTAATAAATGCCAACTCATTGATGAAATACACAAATGTGATTGTATAGTATTATTTTATGATGGATGTTCCAAAAAAAGAAAACAAAACTGTTGTTTTATGTCGTATTTGTCTTAATAAATGTTATAATACATTTCCTTTAATAACAAAAACAGACGAAGAAAAAGAAGACCATTGCTTTGTGGCTTTTTAACAATTTAAAAGAATTTGATACAAATTTTCCTTTTCATATCAATTACATGTGATGGTGCGGAAAATGCACAAAAATCAATTGTAGAATTTAAATTATTGATTGAACCATTTAAACGAACAAAAGGTGATTTTAATAGTAAATTCAATAATGGGAACTGCTGTTTTGTTCACAAAACTGCATTGGTGGGAGATTGTATGTGCCGTAAATCAACAACTGAATTGATTTGTAATTTAACTAAATATATTTGTTCAGTTACAGATATTAAATATTATGAAAAATTCAAAAAAGAAAAAGGTATAACAAGTAAAAAAATAAATAATGTTTTATTCACCCAATTTTTGGCTATATGTAATAACTTAAAATTGATTTGTGATAAATTTGAAAATATTATATTTTTTTTAAATCAAAATTTGTCAACATTTAAAAATTATTTAATCTATAATTATAAATATACAACTGAAAGTAAAATACAAATGTTAATTTAATTTACCAAATTGAAAAAATTCATTTATTTTATGATGTATTAAAATTATTAAAAAATTTGAACAATTCATTTCAAAGCGTTGATGCTGTTCTTCCTGTTTTTTGGAACTGCGCACAAAATTATTAAAAAATGTTAAAAATTGTAAGTGATATAGATGTACATTGTAATTATCAATTACAAACTTTATTATACATCTGATGACACTGAACCAGACTTGTATTTTTTACTTGATCTTTTGTCAAGAACTTTCCTCTATTTTTACGCTCGTTTT